GTATGATCTCGGCTCACTGCAGCCTCTGCCTCCCAGGTTCAAGCAATTATCCCACTTCAGCCTCCTGAGTAGCTGGGACTACATGCACATGCCACCGTGCCCCGCTGATTTTTATATTTTTAGTAGAGATGGATTTCACCATATTGTCGAGGCTGGTCTCAAACTCCTGACCTTGTGATTCACCTGCCTTGGCCTCCTAAAGTGCTGGGATTACAGGCATGAGCCAACATGCCCAGCCAATTTTTGTATTTTTAGTATAGCCGGGGTTTCTCCATGTTGGCCAGGCTGGTCTCGAACTCCTGACCTCAAGTGATCCACCCGCCTCAGCCTCCCAAAGTGCTGTAATTATAGGCATGAGCCACCGTGCCTGGCCGAGCTTTTCTGCATAGACATTCTATCATTCTCTCAAACTTAAGTTGGTCTCAAACCAAACCCATTTCTTCTTTGAAAATCGGAATCTTCTGAGAGAGTAACAAAGGAAATGAGGCAAAATGTTAAAACCTGGTGAATGTGCTACAAGATAAACAGAAATGTTTCTTTTTAAGATTCTAGCAACTTTTCTGTGAGCTTCAAATTATATTTCAAAATAAGGAGCATGTTGGAACAGAAAAGAGCTGGGATAAGGACTAGAAGCGAGCTGAATTTACTGCACAGTCCTCTAATTCTGGTAGTGATGTCTGTTGTTACTGTTGCTTAAATATACTTCAGAGCAATCCTTCATGCCAGATTTCCTCAGTTCTTCTAATTAATCAATATGATTTTGTCTTTCTTTTTTGCCATCTGTAGTTAACATTTTTACTTTTCTCTTCCCAGTCCCCCTTCTGATGCTAACAGTGTCAAGATTTTCCTTTGGAGAGCCATTCTCCAGTTTTAGATCTTACATAGGAGTGGGATTCAAGAATGAAAATGTAACCCAGGTATAACATCTTGCAGATGGTCAATAAAGAAGTAGCAAGTTCCTTTAATAGTTTAAGTCGTTAAGAAAAAGTCCTGGCCAGGCATGGTAGCTCATGCCTGTAATCCCAGCACTTTGGTAGGCCAAGGCAGGCGGATCACCAGGTCAGGAGATCGAGACCATCCTAACACGGTGAAACCCTGACTCTACTAAAAATACAAAAAATTAGCCGGGTGTGGTGGTGTGCGCCTGTAGTCCTAGGTACACGGGAGGCTGAGGCAGGAGAATCGCTTGAATCCGGGAGGCGAAGGTTGCAGTGAGCCAAAAAAAAAAAAAAGGAAAGAAAAAGGCCTAACCAATCTTGTTGGTTTTGCTCTCTTTTTCTATTTTGCCTTAGAGAGAAATGTGCTCATTAGAACTTTACATATATATGTATACACACACATATACAGAGAGAGACAAGGAGACAGAGAGTTAGTGTGGGGTGAGTTTACTGTAGAAAAATTATACTTTCTGCAAAAATAGTTGGTCTTCTTTCTTTCTTTTTTTTTGTTCTTACCTTGGCTTAAAATATAATTCCTCAAGTCAAAATAGTATACTTAGGTAGGTAGGGCAATCTAAAATAAAATCCCAAGAATGAGAATCTTCATTCTTTCAAACTTTGTTGAGCCGTTATATTGCAAAGGATAGCCTCCTGTTTTGGATTTTGGCTTCTTTCGGTCCTCTGCACAATGACTAAATAAATGAGCCCCAGGAGGCCTACAAAAAGCAGTATCTTACTAACAAAGGCAGAACTACCCTGTGCTTCTTTTGCCATTTCTTGATTTACCCACACCACAGCCCCAGGTCTTAAAACCTATTCAAGAGAAAGGATATGGATATTTTTGTAAAATCAGTTTGTGTGTGTTTTTAAGAAAAGGAACATAGAGCTGTCTATATTACAAGCATGACTGTGAAAGGGATTTCGTTCAGAAGCAAGTGAATATTTGCGCCAACACTGAGTCTAGGTGCTTCAAGAAGTCCTAATGTACATCTTTTTTTCCTTGCTGAGTCTTGTCTACTTCACCTCCTTAAAATGCCAACCCATGGGCCCGGCACAGTGGCTCACACCTGTAATCCCAGTACTTAGGGAGGCTGAGGTGGGTGGATCACAAGGTCAGGAGTTCAAGACTATCCTGACCAACATGGTGAAACCCTGTCTTTACTAAAAATATAAAAATTAGCCAGGCGTGGTGGCACATGCATGTAATCCCAGCTACTCAGGAGGCTGAGACTGGATAATCTCTTGAACCTGGGAGGCAGAGGTTGCAATGAGCCAACATTGCACCATTACACTCCAGCCTGGGCAACAGAGCAAGACTCCATCTCAAAACTGCCAACCCGTGGTTTATAAAACCTACAAAACTCAATGCAATGTCCATCACTCCTTTTTTTCTTCCTTTTTCTCATTAACTAGCATCATTGCCCTCTTTGGCAACTGCACAGTTACCAGGTATTACCAGAAAGATTCTAAAATAGACTATTGGCTCTTCTGTTCACTCTTTCCTCTTGCTAAGTTTTGTTTGTTTATTGTTTGTTTGTTTGTTATTTGAGATGGAGCCTTGCTCTGTTGCCCAGGCTGGAGTGCAGTGGTGCAATCTCAGCTCAGTGCAACTTCTGCCTCCCGGGTTCAAGCAATTCTCCCACCTCAGGCTCTCCAGTAGCTGGGATTACAGGCATGTGCCACCATGCCTGGCTAATTTTTGTATTTTTAGTAGAGATGGGGTTTCACCATGTTAGCCAGGTTGGTTTCGAACTCCTGACCTCAGGTGATCTGCCCACCTTGGTCTCCCAAAGTGCTGGGATTACAGGCATGAGCCACTGTGCCTGGCCTCTTACTAAGTTTTTCTTCTCACCTACAAGCTCCACTGGCAGGTTGAGGCCCTGGTATGGTATCCAGTGATCAATGTTGAAATCTATCCTTACTGGTATTTGCTCCTTGGAGGTGAAAAAAATAAATGTTTTATAAAGCTCAAATTGGCCTTATCAAACAAAACATCTGCTAGATCAGTGAATGACTGGTGACAGCAGGAGACAGCAGTGCTGGCCTCTCCAATAGAAGTCACTGCAGTTAATGGAAGCTATTATGGGAAAATTCTGGCAAGAAGTTTTCTTTTTCTTTCTTTTTTTTTTTCTCCTTCAGACAGCTAAAAATTTTCTTAAAGAAAAAATGTATTCAGTTGCTAGGGAAACTGTGGTTTCAAAACTACCATAACAAAAGCCCAGATATCACATATCAAACTACCAAATTGTTAATTTGACTGGTATTTTAAAATAACTGCTTGAAAGAGATGTTTCCTCCTTATCTTAGCTATGGAGAACAGAGGGAAAGGAAGAACAGGCAGAAAAGAAGGAAAAGGGAGAAAAAAAACTGATAGATTTGTTTAAGAAATGTTTTTGCCTTGCTAAATATTTGTTGGAAGTAAAAATTCTTTTAAGTTATGGATACATTTATATGCAGGATTTATTTAGTCAGATTCAAAACATAAGGTGGACAGTGGGTTATTCTGTTTTCAATTTCTCTTCCCGCATTTCAAGCCTTGCCTGGGTTTTAAGTGAACAGTTTTCCATGAGTACTTGGTAAAGGAACTGGTTACTTGGGGGAGTCATGCATGTTCTGAAATCTTTTATGAGTGATTGTATTTTTTCTGTCTTGGTTTTCATCACTTGATTTAAAGTGAATATAATAAAGCCATTAAGTGCTTGGATCTGGAATTGGTCATATCTTGGACTAAATTCCTTTTCTATCCCCTACTAAATTTTTTTCACCTCTCTGAGTTTCTTTATTTATAAAGAGATTAAGGCCAGGCAAAGTGGCTTACGCCTGTAAACTCAACATTATGAGATGCTGAGGTGGGAGGATTGCTTGAGCCCAGGAGTTTAAGACCAGCTGAACAACATGGTGAAACCCTGTCTCTACTAAAAGCAAACAAATAAATAAATTGCTGGGCATGGTGGCATGTGCCTGTAGTACCAGCCACCTGGGAGGCTGAGATGGGAGGATCCACTGAGTCCAGAAGGTCAAGGCTGCGGTGAGCCGTGACTGCACCACTGTTCTCCAGCCTGAGCCACAGAGTGAGACCATGTTTCTAAATAAATAAATACTTTAAATATGAAAAGAATATCAGCCAAGGGCTGTGGTGTGCATCTGTAGTTCCCACTACTGGGGAGGCTGAGGTAGGAGGATCCCTTGGGGCCAGGAGTTTGAGCCTATAGTAAGTTATGATCCCACCCATGAATAGCAACTGGAGCCTGGCTTGGAAAACATAGTCAGACCCTGTCTCTTAAAAAAAAAACAGGGTGGGGGTAGGGGAGGGGGATATCAAAACAAATGACTGACTTACCTCAACAAATAAATTGCAAGGAAAGGAAAAGAGAGAGAGGAACCTATAGATTAAAAGACACTGGGAGGCATATTAACTAAATGTTATATGTGTATGTTTAAATCTGATTTGAAAAAAATTTTAAAAATCATTTATGAGACAATTGGAGAGACTTGAATGTTGATTAGATATCTAATAATATTAAAGAATTATTTCAAATGTGTTTAGGTATAATTACAGAATAACATTGTTTTGGAGGATTTTTGGTGTTATTTTTTGACATTTTGATACATACCGTAATATTTACAAATAAAATAATATAATATCTGAGATTTGCCTCAAAATAAGGAAGAGGGAAATGGATGGGATAGAGATGAAACAGGTTTGGCCGTAAGCTGACAAATGTTGGTACTGGGTGATGGAAATAGAGGGGCTCATTAAAATATTACCTCTACTTCTAAATAAGTATTTGATTTTTTTTTTTTTTTTTTCAATTTTCAGACAGGATCTTGCTCTGTCACCCAGTCTGGAGTGAAGTGGTGCAATCATGGTTCACTGCAGCTTTGACCTCTCAGGCTCAATTGATCCTCCCATGTCAGCCTCCTTAGTAGCTGGGACCATAGACACACACAACCATGCTCAGCTAATTTTTGTATTTTTTGTAGAGACAGGGTTTTTCCATGTTGCCAGGCTGGTCTCGAATCCTGGGCTCAAGGGATATGCTCTGCCTTGGCCTCCCAAAGTGCTGGGATTATAGGCTTGAGCCACGGTGCCCAGCAGATACTTTCTACAATAAAAGTTTTTAAAAGGTATCAGCAATACCTGGTAAGATTATTGTGTGGATTAAATGAGATGCTGTGTGTAAAGCACTTGGCAGAATGCCTTGTATATAATAAATGATCAATAAATACTAGCTATTACTACTTTTAGAGACAAGGCCTCCTCTTCCTCTCCTGCAGAACTCTGAAAGCCAGACCATGAAATGTGTTGCTGACTGGAGCAGCTAACCTTACTCCTTCCAAATCAGACAGCTGCAAGCTGTCATTGCCTGCATCCTCATCCAACCTTGCTCCTGTACTAGTCCCTGTGCTTCCCACACACACACTAAAATTCTGTTTGATAGCGGCTGTTGGCTTTGTGTTTAGTTTCACAGTAAGTTTTAGCTGGGAATGCTATTTCAGTGGAAAATGGAAGGCAAGAACTTTTTTAGCTCAACTATTAATAAGTATTGAGCACATTGTTAGGAATTTCCCTATATAGTTTTATTTAACCTTCATAACAATCCTTCAAAGTTGAAATTATTAGCTTCATTTTAGAGAGGAGGAAACACAAGTTTCAAGGCCCGCCGAAGGTCACAGCACTGTTAGGAGTGGGTCTCAATTCACACCCAGCTCCTGAGACCTCCAAAGGGCTGGTGCTTACCCAGGAACTCTGGCTATCAGCTCTCTTGCCTTTCTTTTCCTTATCCTAGCTTAAAAACAACTGCCACCCAGAAAAGTTTAAGTTGACATTCCCAGTTAAAAGAGTCTGACACCATATTCATCTGTCCTGTAAAGGCAGAGGCCGCACTGGTTTGCGCGGAGTGGTAAAGAGGTCTGCCTAGCTGATGAGGAGGGTTACAGGCTTGGGAGTAGCTTGGGCCCGGCAGAGGGGAGGCTCTGAATGTAGTAATAGAAACACAAAGGTTTTCGGGATTGCGCTGACATTTGTGTTTCATTTCCCTCTTGTTCCAAATGCTATTCAACTTAAGGGAAGAAGAAAGCAGGGAGAGGTACCTTATACGAAAACTATTCAATTCCGAAAATTAAAAACAGCCAGCTGCCATCAAATACCGTGGATCCTTTTTTCAAACTTCAGCTGTAATTTAGTTGGGAGGTTGCAATGGCACTTTAAACTTGCAAATGATGAGTTGACCTTGGAATCCTGCTTATGTAAAGCCGGACAATTCCATGCAAGGCGGGTATCTGGTTACAAATGAAGTTATTGATTGTTTATGGCGGACTTGTGCAGGAATGGAGCGGAGAAAGAGGCACCAGGAGAAAGAGAAACTTGCGACCACGGAGTTGCCGAAAGAGAAGTGTTGGCATCTCAAACTTGAGGATCAGCTTCTTGGGCCCCACTCCAGGGTTTGTGTGGGGGGGTCCGGTTCTTTCTGCCGCCGCCCGGAAGATTCTCAGCTAACCCTTTCCCCGCCGAGACCGAGAGGCCCTCACTCTGTGACCACTCCCAGTGCCAAGCTACATTCAGGAACTGACTAGCCGGAGCGAACCGACCACCTCCCCAGACCCGCCCACCCCCTGCTGTGAATCCCTGAGGTTCTTGCCTGGCGAAGGTCCCCTTAAATTAGGGAACTATAGCTATTTAAAAAGAAGCGCAAAATAACCCGCGCTCTGCACGCCCAAGTGTGGCATTCTAGGGAGCTCCCCGCGGGCAAGGAACTCTGTTGCTCCCCTCAGCTGGGGTGGAGAAGAGGGAGCCTGCGTGCTGGGGCCGGGGCGTTGGGAACTCGGGGCAACCCACCTCCAGGGCCCCGCCCCCGCTTTCCCGCCTGCCGGGGAATGCCAAATGGGGAACCACCCACCTCCCTGAGGCAGATTTGGGAGGGGAGGGGTCCAGAAGCGGTAGAGTGGGGGTGCAGAGCGTCAGATTCTGCCGCTCGGAAGTCAGTCGGGGGCAATTCCCAGCTCCGCCTCAGGCCCCCGCGTTCGCAGCGCGCTCAGTTGAGGGCGCGGGCCTGGCGCGCGGTGTCAACGCCACGAAGTCATTTGCTTGCCCTGAAGGAGCCGGCCCTCGACCCATTGGAGGGTGGAGATTCCTCGCATTCCCTCCTCCCTCTCCCGCGGGTCGGCGAAGAGACGTGGAATTGAGCTGGAGCGAAGATTCCGCGAGCTCTGTAATTACGCACACACTGAAATCTTCACCGTTGACTTAAGTTACTTGGCGCTGCGAGAGCTGGGGCCCTGCATATTGATTAAATGCAGCCTCTATTTACCTAAATAATAAATGTAGAGATTAGTAACGTTCACTTGATCACAATAATAGGGTTGACAATTAAGGGGCAATGCATCCCAGATGTAGCGGAGCCTATGGGCTGCGTGCGGCGGGCAGAGGGCTTCTCGGAGAGGGGCGCTCCGGCAGTTGCGGCGGCGGAGGTCGTGCAGAGCAGGAAGCGGCGCGGGAGCACAGCGGGAGGCGGAGGGGGATGCCTAGCCTCGTTAAGGTCTTCAGCCACCCGGCCCGGGAGGCTGGAATCTGGCTTTGGGGGACCTGAATGTCCCGACTCCCAGGGAGACATCTGGAGCTCGGAACCAACCTCCCTGCAGCGATGGCACCTGCCTCAAGGCCGTCTCGCTTGCTGATGATGCCTGCCTGGGAAGGAGGATGGACGCCGCTGGCATGTGCCTGGGTAAGTGTGTCTGTTTGTCATAAGTGTACATTCTGCATGTGGCAGCGGGGCGAGGGGGAGGCGCACGTGTCTAAAGTGCGCAGAGCTTCCTCTACCCCTACGTATACCCTCCAGTCAACGTTCCAGGAAGCGGGTCAGGGCGGAGGGTATCGGTCCGGACTCTGGAAGGGCGTGGGTGTAACAGGGAAGTCCCACTGTCAGGGTTGCGCTCTACGGTGGCGGAAATCAAGAAAGCATGAACGCGTGGGCCCAGAGCTGGCCTGTTTCCGGATATGTCACGGGGGTGCCTTGGTCCTCGAGAGGAGTCTTAGAACCTATCTTTTTTTTCTCCCCTTCTCACTGAACTGTAGGGTTCTGAAAAGAGGTTCTAGGAAGGAGAGAACTGAAAGGAACTAACTTAGAAAAGAACCCAGGAGTGGAACATGGATAATAAAAGACAGATGAGCACACCCGGGTGTGTGTGTGAAATCATGATCCATTTGGAAGGGGTTCCAAGCCCTTGGCTGCCATCGCATACTGGCTACAAAAGACACACGCAGGTTGCTTCTCTGCTCTTTCCCTCTTCTCTCTGCGCCCCATTATCAACCTGGAAGGCTTCCCATTCCACATTTAGACGCAAACAAAAGGATTTGTCCCAGACACTCACGAACAAGCCGGGACGAAGCCCTTTCCCGCCAAACTACGAAGGCCGGGAAATAAACACAGCCTGCCCAGGCTCTGGGCTTGCGAGCTCGGGAGAGGACTTGGGTGGGAAGAGGATCTAGAAGATCGGAAGGAGGGCGGCAGGAAGAGAGGGAGGGAGGGAGGAAGAAGCTTGGAAAGAGAAGAGGGAGGAGGAAAAGGAGGGACCAGCAGGGCAGAGTTGGACCCGGGGTTCTGTTATAACCGCCCCTCCACGCCCAGAGTCTTTCCATCCCCTGTCCCCCTCCCCCATTTCAGAGCTGAAGGCCGACTGTGGAAGAAGGTGGTTAAACAAAGGGAATCTTCCTCCTCTGGGACGGGTGAAGTGCGTCTGTCCTCTCCTTGTAGGCTCTGGAAAAACTGGCAGGAATTTCCTTGTTGTGAGAAGATGGACGAATGTCTGCAGCCGAGAAGACAACTACAAACAGACTTTGGGCTGTGAAGGCGGGCGGGCGGGGGTGGGGGCGGGGGGCAGCTTTGATCGCTCCAGCTCTGTTGTAATTTTGTCTTCGCCAGATAGATTAGCTGGAACCGCCAGCCCTAGCATGGAGTTCTGTTCTGTGGAGTCCCCTCCCTCCCTACCCCCCGCGTCATCTCGCGCCCGGAGTCGGGTCGCCGCTCCTCCTGAAGTCTCGCTGGAAACTTCTGTGTTCCTGACGTAATTAGGAGGCCACGCAGCTCTCCAACACTCCGTTAAACAAATATGTAAGTCGTCCTCCCCCTCTCTGTGGACAGACTCTAGGGAAGGAGGCAGCTGGGCCCGCTCGGGGTGGTGTCCTTGGCTAGGAGAGTGGCGCCTCTGTGACCTTCGGCTGCCCCTCGGAGCCTTGGTCTTTCTAAGCTCTTCCTTAGAAAGCAGAGAGAGGGGCAGAGAACGTGCACCTCGCCACCCACCGGACAAGCTGAGAGGACCTTGTCTTTGCTTGAAAAGTTTTCTAGATAAATCGCTTGGGTGGTTCTAAGCTGTGATGAACCAGAGGCTGGGCCCTGTTCTCCGGAACAGCCTGTGGATGTAAAGATGAAATCGTCCCCCGCTTTCTTTTTCTTCCGGTATAAATCAGTGATACAAATCATTCACATTGTTTAAGGTACATTGATCAATCTAATGGCTTGTAGTAGGCTCTTAATTGCCACTTGCAGAATCCTGCAGGCTCACATTTGAACAGGGAAGGTTCCAGCCAAGTCCACCTTAAGGCTTGAGGTTGGGCGATTACAGATCCCAGGAAGAAAGTCTAGATGGCGCGGTTACTCCAGTCTCAGTTCCACAGGGGAGGGAAGAAAGGGGGTGTTAGTGGGGCTATTTGCTGTTCATTTTTTCCCCAATCTCCCTTCTAAATCAGTCACTGATGAATGAGCAAAGCCCATGTGGCGATTTATAGACTATTGTGGACTGAGGATCATTCTGTTAACATCAGAGAAGAAACTTTCCTTACTTGCATCCCCTGTGTTTGTATTTACAGTAAAAACTTCCTTAGTTACAAACTGATATGCTTTTAGCCATACTTTTTTTTACTTATTTTTAACAGAGCAACACCAGGAGTTGTGATAGGAAATAACTATGGGGGAGGGGTGTGCTAACAGCAAGGAAGGAAAAGCCAGACTATCCAAGAGAGTCCTGGAGGTATGCCTACTCTCCTGTTTAACATCTTTTTAAAAAATGCCTTTTCCAAGCCCTGGAGGGAGAAGGAAAGAGTTGGAAGCCTCCTCAAACCTGCCTATGAAAGGCTAAAACTGAGGAAACTGGTACCCTGGCTAGGAGAAGCTGACTAATGATCAGAATCCTCTGGCCTCTGGCTTTTCTTGATATTAGAGTCTATGTGAAAAGATTGCTTTAACATCTCCAAAGTTCCATTAGAGTTGGCTGAGACAATACATGTGCATCATTTTGGTAGAGATGCTCTTAAAAAAAAGAAAGGCACTACAGAATGCTGCATTTGCTTAGGTCTAAGACCCTTCTGTGGTAGTTGGTGAGGGAGGGAGGAAAGTAAAACCCCAAGCTGAATAGGCCCCCCATAGTTTCCAAGTGATGCAGTAAACAAATCTATGATGCTTGTTGAATAATCTTCCAATAATTGCAGTCATTAAAATCATCACACAGTCTACAGTCACCTTCCTTCCTTTGACACACCAGCCTTTCCCTTAATTGTTAATGCATTTTTGGCTCAGATAAACAGATCGGGGCAAGCTTAAAATATATGGCCCAGATACATCTAGCAGCAGAAAATTAGTTATGTAACAAACGTTTGGACTGTTCTTAATAGACTAGGGGTTTTCAATTTCTTCAGCAGACCCTACAGAGGCAAGAAAGATTTGCATCTTCTACCACTGCTAAATGGCAGTGACGCCTCTGAGATACAGAAAAAAAGATGAAAGTCCCATTGGCCTATTGATTCTTCCTGGCTATTTCATTTGCAAGGGCTGGGCTGGAATTAGGACATTATAAAGCAAATACGAAATGAAAGCTCAACAGAAACTGTGGGAGAGTTTCTTAATTTTCAATTAATTTTCTCCATCCATTTGATCTCAACAACTGGTGCTTTAAAAAAATATAAATATTTGTTAACTATAAAAGATTTCCTTCTAATCAAAGGCTGTATTTCATTTTCACCCACTGACAAGACTCCAACTGTGGGAAGGATTCACCCGACTCAACAGGCACTATGGACCTTCCTGGGCTTCCTTCTTCCTTGCTCATGGCAGGCAACGTGGGTACACAAGGGCAGCTTTTTCTTTTTTTTTTTTTTTAACTCAAGTTATTAATGTATCTCCCCAACTGCCACACGGTGCTGACCTGATAATCACTGCTCTAGTGAAGATCATGCAAATGAAAAGCATAATTAATTGCACAAATGATTTAAAAAGGAGCGCTGTGGCTTAGGAAATAAATAAAGGCAGTTGAGAGGACAGGTCAGATTTTTATAGGCTGGGCTCCCATCACCCCCCACCCCGCAGGCCTCCTGGTCCTGGTGGTCCAGACTTTGACTGGCTGTAGCCAGTCTGGCCAAGGCGAACATTTTCCGTTCCTCCTCCCCCAACGCCTCCCCTTCAGTGGTATTCTGGAGTCCTCCAACTCCACCTCACCTCCCCCTACCCCACCTCACCCCATCCCAGTGGCGAATATCTGCTGCTAAATTCTGCCAGGTTAAAGTGCCAGGGAGACTGGGTAGCCACCTAATATTTAACCAGCTAGTATATCGAGTTATTCAGAAAATAACTGGTCCTCCCAGTTGCCACTCTGCTTCCTGCACATGAGGGAGACGCATTTATATGTGGCTTAGGAGGTCCAATCCTTACGATCAGAGCTAATGACTGAATTGTTTCCCTGGCTTTGCCTTCTAAACACAGCAACTTGAGCAGTTGCTCAGATCAAAGCTTTCGGGAGAGGCAAGATGGGAGAAACAATATTTGTTCAAAGGAAGTGAACTCTTCCCTTTAATTACCCTATTCTTCCTTATTAGGATTCGTATTGAAATTTTTTGCAAAAAAATTATGTTGATTTAACCATAGTGTATTTATGATGTAAATATATTCCAAGATGAAAACGTCACAGATCAATTGTAAAGGACCCGGATACATAATTTTAAAAAATCAGTTTCAGTGTATATGAGGTTCTCACCCCACTTTCGCTGCTCAGTCAGATTTGTTTATGCAGAATCGACATTTAATAGTGCTAATTGCACTCCAGTTAAATTGCCCTGATTGCAGAAAGGGAAGCAATTTTCGTGCTCTCTGTCTGGGTTTGGAAGAAATTGTTTTATATTCACCTCTTTATAAAGAAGTGGAGATAAGGCACCGGGGCCTTTGCACAAATTGCACTTAGGGGCTGACTGGCAGCATTCAGGCGCTATAATAGAGCATTATTTGGCCGTTTTGAATAATGTAAAGCGTTTGCTGAAAGCTATTCTCCTGAAAATTGCTTTAACTTTTAAAAGGGTGATGATTCACTCCAAACCAGGCCTTTGTTACATTGTCATTATTTCCCCAAATGTTTTAACAGTCAGCTCAACACTTTAGCATAACACATTGATCTTTGTTTAAAAACTAGATTTTTTAGAGGATAAAAAAAAAAAAAATCTGTCAGATGAAAAAAATCTGGACTTCCTCCGAAAGATTTCCTTGGGGCCCCAATTTAGAGTTGAAGTGGCCCGGGTGTTTGCCTGCATTCGTTTGGAAGATTTCCCTAACTTTTATTGTGATGCAGACGCGTGTTATCTAAAGGAATATGCGAGTGCCCACGTCTAGAGTCTGACAGCTGGAACTACGGGGAAACGGCGGGAGGGGGAGGGGAGAGAAGCCAAGGGGAGGAGGAGAAGAGGAAGGCGAGCAGGGCGCCGGGAGCCCGAGGTGCTTGCAAGAACTGTTTTAAATGGTTGGCTTGAAAATGTCACTAGTGCTAAGTGGCTTTTCGGATTGTCTTATTTATTACTTTGTCAGGTTTCCTTAAGGAGAGGGTGTGTTGGGGGTGGGGGAGGAGGTGGACAGGGGAAACCTCGGCGCTTCTCCTCCCCAGGCTGCACAGGGTGAGTCGGAAACGCCTCGCTGCCACTTAACAATCCCTCTATTAGTAAATCCACGCGGAGACTCTATGGGAAGCCGAGGGCCAGTGTCTTCTTCCAGGGCAGAAGTCACCTGTTGGGAACGGCTCCCGGGTCCCCCTGCTGGGCTTTCCAGCTCTTCCAGGCGGCCCGATTTCTCCTCCACCCTCCACCCCGCGTCCCCCAGAGACTTTTCACACCTCCCCACCCTTATTTCCACCTCAGTCTCCCAGGGCACAGCACTTCATTGACAGCCGCAAGAGCCTTCTCGTTCTCTTCTGTCCCTTCTCTTCCTCTGTGCTTTCGCCACCTTAAAAAAGAGAAATAAAAAATAAAAAAAGACAAACCATTCCGAGCAAAAGTATTTTAACAGGAATCCAAGAAAGCGACCCACATAGTCCCCACCCACGGAGCGCGCCAAGATGCACCCAGGCTCCATCACAGGGCCGAGAGCAACGCCACGCTGGTCGTACGGTTGGGTCAAGAGATCTTGCAAAAGACGAGAGAAAACACGGAGGCACAGTTCCACGTCCTTGTCACTTGCACCCGCTCCAAGGCAACTTGTCGTTTGCACCCGAGCATTTGGGGTTGATAGTTGAAGTTGTTTTTTTTTTTTTTTTTTTTTTTTCCCTAAGAAGCAGGGTGTGGGTTTAGTGGGGAATGTGCTACATTAAAACCAGTGCCCAGGTCTGTCCGAGGGCGCGCTGGTATTTCTGGTTCAAAAACAGCTTCTGGCTACCCTGGAGAAGAAAGAGAAAGCGGGGCCAAGAAAGAGAAAAACAAGCAGTTCAGCGGTTGCTGGGGGACTCGAAGCTTCACCTTGCTCTGTTTGAGGACACCTCTTTTCACACTGACAAGGTCCAAGGAGGACTTCAGGATGCTTCCAGCCTGCAAAATGTGGAGGCGTCCATGTGTGGCCTGGTCCTCCACCCTCCCGGGTGACAGTCCTGGAAAGGTTTCTCAGGCACGTCCGTGAAAGCAGGACACTAAGGGGGAGCCCACCTCTTAACGCGGCGCACTTGCCCTGCAGACGAGCTTCTAGGCCCTGGCGGTCTGGAGTGGGAGTGGATTGGAGCTGGGACAAGAAAACTCCACTCTAGGATGAAACGCGACATGCAAATCTTCACCGGGTTAAACAAACAGCCGAGCAAGCTGCAGCTTCAGCGGAGGTGGAGGTGGGGGCGGACGCCGCTCGCGCCGGTCTCTGTTTCCAAAGTTGTTACAATGTGAAAATAAGCGGCTTCGTGCAGCGTGTTGTATGGGCTGATGCCTCCCACCCCCACACCAGCCCCCAGCAAAACCCGGCAGATAATCAGCACATCCCACTGTTTAGTCATATTTGACAACTGGGTTAACCTGGTATCTAAGCACGCTGGCGAAACCGTACAAAGGGTGCCCTCAATTACCACCAGAAGCCTCTAGAGTGAGTGGCACTTGTATTACCCCCCGGGTCAGAGGCCAGAGCGACAATTAGGAAGACACTTACACCGCTGGGGGGAAATGGCGGGATGCAGCAAGCTCCAGGACTTCCCAACAAATCTGTGGGTGTAAACCTGTATATAGAGGCCTATTTCGCTTCTCTCGGAGGAGCTCTCTCTTCGCGCCCCTCCCCAGTGTAACTGTGAGAGTAACACTGAATCCAGTAGAATAAAGAATTGGGTAGAAGACACACGAAAATAAAAATCACAAGCAAGATTGATAGATAAAAGCTGAAGTTGTGCTCTGTAGGCAAGAGCCTGGACACACAAAGTGAGCGCTGACATTTCTGTTACCACTTGAGCCTTGCTGGTGCGGCCTCTGCCTCGATGTCTCCTCCCCTCCTGCCTCCTTTCCTACAAGTGGGGAGTCGAGTAGGACTGTCAACTCTAACTTGCAAAATCTCGGGGTGGCTTGTGTGTGTGTGTTGGGGGGGGTGCCTGTGGTTGGGTTTCATTGGTACTTAAACCTGTCTTGGTGCGTGTGTGTAAATTTTTAATTGCACTGTAATTTCTTCAGTCCCCAGCCCCCCCCCCCCCCCCCAGCATGCCCCCCTGCCCACCCCCACCCGCAGTCCTAGCTTGCGGACTTGACTGGCACGCGCCGGGAGCCCGGGCTCGGGCCCCTCGGCGCGTCTGATTGGCTGCGGGGCAGCTCCCGTCTGCTCTGCCTGCGCCCTCATTGGGCGAGAGGCACAGCCAGCGGCACTTCAAAGCGGGTGCTCCTCGCACTTAGGCTGAGTTTAGCCGGCGGGAGCCCGGAGTCCGCTCGGCGCGAGCGCGGGGACGCGGGAGCCGCGCGGGACCCAACCAATTTTTCCGAGCAGCCGCCAGGCTCAGCCCCGCTCCCAGCCTCGCTGCGCAGCCAGAGACCTGCTATGGCCACGTCTATACTCGGGGTAAGTCGCAAGCGCGGCAACGCATTTGCTTGTTTTAACCGGAGTAATTTTTCGTTATGGCTTCTGGGGTCTGCGGCTCCCGAGAAACTGTTGCTGCTGGACTGCAGCTTCAGCTTCTATTAGCACTTTCCACAATTCTGGGACTGATTTTTTCCCAAGTTTTTGGAACCCAGCAGATGCCTTTGCAAGAAAAGGCCTTCTTAAGCAAGTCCTTTTTTATTTTGTTTCAAAGAAAAGCTAGAGGGTTCTTTTCTTCCCCTGGTGATTTATACCCCACCCCCGGCCTTGCTTATTACGCGACAGAGGTGTTTCCAGAAAACAGTCTTAATCGTTTTGCAGTCCATCTAGTCAGGCTAATAAACATTTACATTTCCGCGGCTCCCCAATTCACCCATGACTTTGAAATACGTTGCTGGCCGCTTATCCTCGGATTGTTGTTTTCATAATCGCTGTGTTTGTGTGTGTGCGTAAACTTTAAAAGCAAACGTTTTCTATTAAACAAGTCAAGTCGTAGCCACCCTGGAGTGCTGCAAGTTTCGCCCGTCCCTGGCAGCTCTTTCGGCCGCCTCCGCCCTCACCTGGTGTTTGTTTTCTCTGTTTACCTTCGTGCTTCACCCCGAAGGGCGACTTGGGGTCTTCTGGGAGAGGAGCCGGTTTACGGCGACAACCAAAGTCCGGCTGTAGGCAGGGTTGCAGCGACTGAGGCGGGGAACCGGAGGCATCTTTGATTTATAGGCTCAGCGAAGAGCAACTTTCCGGCGCCCGGACCTTCGTCCCTGTGATCGCCCCTGCCCCGCGCGGGCCACGGCGACTTCTCTGCGAGCGAGTGGGGAGGAGGCGCGAGCCGGGGAGCCACGGCTCCCCCGGGAGCCGCCGCAGGGGACTAGGTTGCTCACGGGTGCACTTTGTTTCTTCCCCACTTCCTCCTGCCCTCCTCCTCCTTGCTCCCTCCCCCATCCCACCCACTCTAGGAAGAGCCGCGCTTTGGAACGACCCCGTTGGCCATGCTGGCGGCGACCTGCAACAAGATCGGCAACACGAGCCCGCTGACAACGCTGCCGGAGTCGAGCGCCTTCGCCAAAGGCGGCTTTCACCCCTGGAAGCGCTCCTCGTCCAGCTGCAACCTCGGCTCCAGCCTCTCGGGTTTCGCCGTGGCCACCGGGGGCCGTGGCTCCGGCGGCCTGGCGGGCGGTTCGGGCGCAGCCAACAGCGCCTTCTGCCTGGCCTCCACGTCGCCCACGTCGTCCGCCTTCAGCAGCGACTACGGCGGCCTCTTCTCTAACTCGGCGGCGGCCGCGGCTGCGGCGGCCGGGGTGTCCCCGCAGGAGGCGGGTGGCCAGTCGGCCTTCATCTCCAAGGTGCACACGACGGCGGCCGACGGCCTGTACCCTCGCGTGGGCATGGCGCACCCGTACGAGTCGTGGTACAAGTCGGGCTTCCACTCGACGCTGGCGGCCGGCGAGGTGACCAACGGCGCGGCGTCGTCGTGGTGGGACGTGCACGGCAGCCCAGGCTCGTGGCTGGAAGTGCAGAACCCCGCTGGGGGGCTCCAGAGCTCGCTGCACTCGGGCGCCCCCCAGGCCTCGCTGCATTCGCAGCTGGGCACCTACAACCCCGACTTCAGCTCGCTCACGCACTCGGCCTTCAGCTCCACCGGCCTCGGCTCCTCCGCCGCCGCCGCCTCGCACCTGCTCTCCACCAGCCAGCACCTGCTGGCCCAGGACGGCTTCAAGCCGGTGCTGCCCTCCTATTCGGACTCCAGCGCCGCCGTGGCAGCCGCCGCTGCCAGCGCCATGATCTCGGGCGCCGCGGCCGCCGCCGCCGGGGGGAGCTCCGCACGCTCTGCCCGCCGCTACTCAGGCCGCGCCACCTGCGACTGCCCCAACTGCCAGGAGGCAGAGCGGCTGGGCCCGGCCGGGGCGAGCCTGCGGCGCAAGGGGCTGCACAGCTGCCATATCCCGGGCTGCGGCAAGGTGTACGGGAAGACGTCGCACCTGAAGGCGCACCTGCGCTGGCACACGGGCGAGCGGCCCTTCGTGTGCAACTGGCTCTTCTGCGGCAAGCGCTTCACGCGCTCGGACGAGCTACAGCGGCACCTGCGGACTCACACGGGCGAGAAGCGCTTCGCTTGTCCGGTGTGCAACAAGCGCTTCATGCGCAGCGACCACCTGAGCAAACACATTAAGACGCACAACGGGGGCGGCGGGGGCAAAAAGGGCAGCGACAGTGACACGGACGCCAGCAACCTGGAGACGCCCCGTTCCGAATCCCCCGACCTCATCCTGCATGACTCCGGCGTCAGTGCAGCCCGAGCGGCGGCAGCGGCAGCGGCGGCGGCGGCGGCGGCGGCCTCCGCGGGAGGCAAGGAAGCAGCGTCTGGCCCCAACGACTCTTAGAGGCCGGGCGAGAGGCGTGAGCACGCGAGCGAGTAGAGACACCGAGAACGAACGAGAGGTTCGGAGGGCGAGCGAGCGGGGGACGGGAGGGCATGGGGCTCCAGTGATGCCCCCGGGGCCCGGGGTGGGCGCGAGGTGGAGCTGCGCGGGGCTCTGGGGCTGCGGTTCGCCCGCCGTACCAGGAGCTCTCCTCCGCCTTCGCGCCCAGATGAGAATCGAACGCGTGGTCCGGAAACAAAAGCGAACCATCCTCCGACACAAACACTTTAAAAACTGTACACCCAGACATATACATACACCGGAGACCCTCAACCACAAGCACGCACACTCGCGCGCGCACACACACCACTCGCCCAAACTTCTCGAGCGAACAGCAGCAATACACAGAAAGGCTCCCTCTTTCCCCACTATCCATGTCTCTCCAACACCCTTCTCTTTCCTTTTCTCAAAAACAAGCCACCACCCAGCAAAGGACTGTCAGAACATTTGAAAACAAACGGGACCGATAAAAAAAAAAAAAACCCTTTGTGTGGATTATATTATATATAAAATGCTCCAAGTTCTGCTTGATATCTACTTACGAGACTTTTTTTTTCCTAAAAAAGGAAGCATCAAAAGGCTTAAGGTGAGAAATTAAACTGGAAGTCTAGCGACAGTTTCTCTGTATTTCATAACATCTGTATAAATAGGGTTCAAAGATTGTGTTCTCTTTTATTTTCTTGTAAATGTTCATTCGAATAGTTTTTTTTTTTTTTTTGGTGAATCCCTGAAATTCAGGGAGTTTTTTTTTTAATTTTCTGATGCACTTTGTGAAAGTCAGTATATATGTAAAAGATATTTAAAATGTTGAGTTATCATTTCACTCACAAATACGTAAGTTAAGGTCATCTAAAGAAATTAAATGCGTTTATCTGTATGAAGAAAATCTTGACATCATATTTTCATTTTGGTATTATTAAAGGACTCTGCACAATACAGTTCCTTTTTTTAAAATCCTGTTTCCCCCTCAATAACCTTTTCGTGGGTCGATTTTTTTTGGTTTTTGTTTTTGTTTTTTGGTTGGGAAAAAATTTCCTTAATGTTAGTTGTAGGTAATGTAAAGTTTATGTGGTTGCAAAAGCCATACTTCATATACGTTTTTGAGAAGTCAAAATTATTTATTTGTATATCAACAGTGTAAATTAAATTGGGTTATAAGGACGTGTAGTTCTATTACTTGATGTGAAGGCTCTCAAAAGGTGACATTTTAAAATTCTGGATCGCCTAAATGCAAAGGTCCTTGGCAGCTTTAACTGGGGAGGTGCCTAAATCTCTGGGAGGGGTCAGAGAAAACTGGTGGTTTTGCTTGTTTTTAAAAAGTGATTTAAAAACAATCTGTGAAAGGAAAACGCTTTTTAAGAAGAAGTCTTTTAGTTCCCAAGGCCCTGTATGTTGGGAAGCAACTCAAGGGAATAAATCGCTAGAGTCAATACCCCGGAAAAGACATTTCATGCCTAAATGAAAATCTTGTTAAATGTTATTAATTTTGACTTAGAGCACACAGCAGCCCCCTGTGCCTTGTATTCCCTTATTAGGGATTCATGTCTTATCAAATATCTAATTAATCTCCTAGACATCATTTGTTCTGGCCAACTTTATCTCAGCTGGTCCGCGGGGAAAACTCCAAATATTCTCTGTGACAAAGCTCCCTTGAAGATCTTTTTAATTGTCTAAATTAACTGCACCAAATTTGCATGTCAAACGGTAAAGGGCAACCTGAGATAAAATGTAAACGTTTTAAAAGCCCCCAAACTAAGCACTTGATTTGATAACTAGGCTTTTTAATGTTATGGAAGACAACTGCTCCTTTCCTTTTCAAAGACGGCTGATCTATGCAAATAGTGAATTGGAAATGCCTAGGTCCCCGCGCCGTCAAATGGCCCTCGCAGGTTATTTGAATATCAGTGGCGCTGCTTCTGAAAAGGTTCAAGGATGCTCTCTGACTTCTTTGTGATTACTCAGTGCGGCGTCTTATTCTGAAGAAAAAAACTCAGGAATAATTAAAGGCTGGGATCAGGCCTGGGAACACATTTGGGACAGGAATCTCATTTAGACAGTCTCTTTCAAAATAAGGCACAGTTAAATTGACCAGAAGGCAATTATTGAAATGAAAATTATTTTCACTCTCTTTGTCTTCTGACCACCAACTTAACAGCCCCAGTTTAAAAGAGGGAGAGACAAAAAGAAAATTGGTAAATGAGATAATTTCGCAATTCAAAAAAAATGTTAATTTAGAAAATAAAGTACATATTTACAGAATAAAAATATTTCTAAAAGACTTCCCACACAAGAGGAAATACGAGCGAAGTCAGCACCAACATTATTTTTTTTCCATTTTTAATGACTGTCCGCCTTGGGAATTTGAACGAAAGTTTTGATTTTTAGGAAAGAAAAAATAAATTCTTGTTATTAACAATCAGCAAAGTGTTTTCTCGGAAGCTGTTCTGAAACACCAAGTCGCAAAGTAGCGATAAAACAGAACGAAGGTCCCCAGCAGGGAGTTTGCAGCATGACATTCGAGGGTCTCTTCCTCCTCCTTGCGCACGGTGCAGCCAGGCTGCCCCGCTTGTCTTCCTCGAGTTTTTCACTTTAGCCATTTTCTCTACTGGCTCATGCTGTTCATAACCAGGAGCCCCCCACTCCCCACGCGCCTCTGGTTGGGGGATGGTCTTCTGGAGAACCGGCTGGCAGCGGCGCGTTTTCTGGAGGGGCTTCGGGCCGGGGCGCTGGAGCCCAGAGGGTGCCTGGCGCGTTTGGGGGCCGCGGGCTGGCGGCGCGGAGTAGAGGGTGTGGTGGGTCTCCCGAGGAACGCGGGCGCCGGGGCGTCGGGCTCAGGCAGCTTTGTTTCTTGTTGATAATAAAGGCAGATCAAAGGGCCCGGCCGTGCAGGTCCCGCTGGCCGCGCGGCTCCCTCCGCAGGCCAGTGATCAAGGCCTGTGCGCTCTGCCTCTGCCCTGCGGGTCAGCGGACGTCCATCACCCAGGCTCCTGGGAGTGGCGGGCGGTAGCCCCGGCCAGAGCGTCCAGCCGGGAGACAGCAGTGCGCAGAACCTGAGCTCGGAGGGAGTGGGGCCCCGGTGGCCCGGCTGAAGCCAACCGGCGAAAACAGGGCCCAGGCCTCCTGCCCGCCCTCCCCCCAGCCCTAGGCGCCCCTGGGGGCGCGGGGAACCTTGACCTGAAAGGGTGGCGACCGGCCGGCCGGGGATAACCAAATTGGAGACAGCGCGCGTGGGAGGAGAGAGCCCCCGAACTAGAACACAAGTTCGGTTCCCAACTGCGGTGGGATCCCGCCTCCCCAGGGCCACCTCGGGGCCCCGGCGGCCTGGGCCTCCCCGGCTCAGGGGCCAGGAGGAGCCGGAGGTGGCGGCCAGGGACCCAAGGGCAGAGGTGGGCAGCGGCCTGGAGGTCGGTGGGGTGGGGGCCGCGGCCTGGGGGTGCAGAGTCCCGCCCAGGCCAGAGTGAGAGCAGTGCGATTTCGAGTTCCCGGGTTTCCCCGGTGTTTCCTGTCCCGTAGCTTCCAGCGCATCAGAGAAACGAAAACCAAATTTTCCTCGGCCCAGCGCCCACCCAGCCACGATCCGCACCATCCTCTGGCGTTTCCTTTTCTGACGCCAGTTTTCTCCCCGTGGACTGAATTGGATTCTACCTGATGAGGAAAAAGAAAAAGAAAAGAGAGATTTTCTTTCTTCGAGGGGGAAACAACATTATTTTGACGAGATTAGACTGTGCACCTGAATGGCGCGTCTGGACCTTCGTCAAATCGTTACAAGTCGTGTAAAATTGAATTTCTTTTTATTCAGATGGAAACTTTATTTATTTTAACTCTAATCTTATTTGCATCTATTATCTGTATTCACCAAGGCTCTCTTCCACTACAAAAATGCAGATGAAGTAAATCTCACATAAATCCCGCCCATTTGTGTAATTGGTATACTAAGTGTTTATTTTAAGTGAGAATAATTTAGCTACAAATTTTCTTAAGGAATAACATTCTTAACACATTAAAAAAACTGAAAACTCTGATTTGCTTTTATGTTTGACAGTAGCTCTTGATTCCCATAAGAGGAGCTTGGCGAGTGCGGCTCGCTGGCGCCATCTAGAGCTCCCAGGCGGAAAGGCAGCCGCCTGCCCGGCTCGCGGCTGTCAGCGCGGGGAGACCAGCTTTTTGCCTCCAGCAGCAGCAACCCAGCGGATCCTGCGAAGAAACGCCAGGGTTTGCGTTCCGGCGGGGAACGAGCCCTGTTCTTGAGGGTGGGGAACGCTGCTTAGCAGTGGCTTCTGGGCAAGAGGGTCATTTCTGGAACGTGCTGACAATCGGAACAAAACAAAATAACGACCGCTTGGCCCTGGTCTTAGAATTGTCGCATTTAACATCCTTTTCGAGGCAACTTCAGGGGCTTCCAACTTAGAGTTGAGAACCCTGAGCGCTGTCGGCGGCAACGTGGACCCCAGGATGTGGGGACCCAGCTGTAGACTCAGACCCCCATGACCCTGCATCCGCGGCTCCAGTCCCGCAAGGCCCGCGTGGACCATCCAGGACCGGCTGGAACCAGGCCGATGCCAACAGGCCCCCGCCAACAGGCCCCCAAACCATCCCACTCCACCACCCTTGTACAATCAGGGAAGGCAAGGGACCCGTGGCTTTCGCAGCCGGAACCCGAGGCGGGCCGGAGTAGCCTTCTGCCTCGCCTTCGTCCTCCCGCCGCCACCCCAGCCCGAGGGGGGTGCGGGGGCGGCTAGGCAGGCAGGAGCCCGGCCAGGCTAACAGGGCCTCCAAGGGCGGCGAGAAGCCCCCAAGCCCTCCTCCCCAGGCCTCCCCGAAGGGTGGGCACACCATCCCAGAGCAAACCAACCCCTTTTGTCCTCACCATTTCCCTTTGAAACCCAAATATGAGATCGGGTAACCGTTGGGGGTGTTGGCCAATTTTCTCTCATCTGAGTGCATTGCCCTCCCCCCGCCACTCCTTTCCCCCCTCTTCGCAGTCCACTACCTCCCACACCCCAGCCGGTCCTCAGACTGCTTGGAGTGACTTCCTTCTCCTTTTTTGTGTCCTCCACCCCCCAGCGCGTATTTATTGTATTTTAATTTAAAAAGCGACACCTTCAAACCCTGCGCCAGAGGCGGCGGAGGCGCCGTAGCCCGCAGCAGGGAGAGCCCAGCCAAGGCGCCTGGGCGCCGGGATCCCTGAACTCGCGCGGGGGAGACGCAGTGCGTTTCTGGGGACTCGCAGCCACCTTTGCGGCGGGTAACTCGGCTGGGTTTGTATTTGCTGTTTTAATACAAACCCCGCCGCACTGCCTGTTTCAAAGATGTGCTAATTACTACTTGGATAGCAGGGCGCAAAGTCCTTGTCCATTTCCCAGTACAAAGTAGGTTGCTAGAAAATTTGAAATTGCCTTTCAGCCTAAAGCTGCCTTACCTGAATGTCATAATTACAGTAATTATGTACATCCAAATTACATGCTAATTAAATTAGAATCAAATCGTTCTAAATCGAAATCAAATGAGGTAGTGAAGAATTAATCAATGACAACATAAATAGAGAGCTTCCTTCAGAGATATTTATTGTAACGATACAAGGAGGAATTTGATCTGAAAAAGTCACCTGTTTGTTTATTTTCAAATTAGTAATCAGTTATTATCCCTTCTCCATAATTTTAACCGTTCAGTGTTATTTACCCCCCACCCTTCCCAGACGCTGGAGTGTATAGAAATATGTATGAGGTAAATACATACAGACATGCCTCCTCCATATATTGTTGATATAAATATAGACTGTGTGTTTGCAACTCCAGTTAAGGAAAAGGTTTCAGAATGTCTCTGGGGACACGTCCCTCCAGGGACCGCTGTCGAGGACCCGGAAAACCACAGCCCCTAAAAGTTCTAGATTTTCCAAGACCCCTACACTGTCTTCCTTTAGAAATCCATATCGGGGATTTTGCATTTTTTTTTTCAGGCAAATAACCATTCCTGGGTAATTTGTTTATTTATAAAGGAAATGCAAAGTGGGAGGGTGTCTCCCCCAGTCCGTACTCTGCTTGCGGATTGCTGACAAAAGTTATCTTCCTGTTTGTCCCAGGAGCTTCATAAAGCGCCCTCTTCACCTGTGGAGCCGGAGCTGCTAGAACAATTCGCTCTCATTGCTAACTGCTGGAGGCGAA